CTGTTCAAAGGACCTGCAAACATGATCCTTTAATGCACCATGTTTTTCACAAATAGAAACATGACTTTCCTCTAACTTTTGATGTGCCCTCAAACAAAACTGTAGATTCCAAAAGTACAAAAAAAGTTACTGTTAAAATTTCAGGGCACGAAAGAACTCACGACACGGTTGTTTTATCCTGCTGTGCTCATGCGACAAAATTGCTTCCACTATTGATTTTTAAAAGGAAGATACTATCCAAAGAAAAATTGCCTAAAGGAATGCAAAAGGCTGGCTGGATGTCATGCAAAAGGCTGGCTGGATGGAGGAGGAGGAATGAAGTTATGGATAGACAAAATTTGGTCGAGGCGCCTTGGTGGACTGTTGAAGAAATCTGTCCTACTAGTATTGGATCATTTTCGTTCTCACAGAACAGAAGACGTTAAAAATAAGCTCAAAAAATTGAAAACTCAGCTGTAATTCCAGGAGGCCTAACTAGTCAACTTCTAACTTTAGATGTCTGCATTAATAAACCATTTAAGGGATTTATGAAGGAGAAGTTAACAACTGGATGCAGTCTTCAAATTTTGAGGTTACACCATCAGGAAGAAGGAAGAGGCCTAGCATTTCGCAAGTTTGTGACTGGGTCAAAGCTTCATGGGATGCTGTGAAAACAGAGAACTGGTTAAATCATTTAAGAATTGGGGCATTAGTAATGCACTAGGGATGCTACAGAGGACAATTTGTTGTATGAGGACACAGATACTGATTTAGAAGAGGTTTCAAGTGACTTTTTATTTAGCTCTGGAGATGCGTGTCTGAATTTTGACGAAGATTAAAAAGTGTTCTTTCCCAGATAAATTTGGTATTTACAGAAAGTATTACTTTGTATATGTATTACTTTATATTTAAAATATTGTAAATTTATTATAATGATCAGTAATAAAGTTTTATCCTTCAAAAATGGGTATAAAAAGGGGCTGTGTATTATAGGCCGGTAGGTCTTATACGCCGGCAAATGTGGTATGTTTTAATATTATTAATTATTAATTTGCATATTTTTAACATAGCATACTTAAACGATGAATAAATATATTTTGCTACTGTCTTCCATTTGTTGTATTCCATTAAAATCAATTTAAAATTAAAAAAAAAAAGAAAAGAAACTGTTTACATCATATTTACATTCGCATAAATCATAGCATAATTAAAATTAATTTTCACAATTATTAAAATTTTAAATAACAGCAGTATAGCTAAAATCTGAATCAATATAGTTTTACGAAAATTAATACATCTAATACTGTTTTTATTCGAAACGAACACGAATTCAAAATAAATAGTTCATTTTTCTTTTTTAAGCGCGCCATTTTGATTTAACAAGAGCAGGACAAGCCAATTTTTTATTTTATTATTAGTCCAAAGGGCTGTGTCCCTGAAGGACTACTGTTTTCGTTTTGTGTTGAATCACTAAAAATGTCCGTTTCACTTTTCACACTGTTGCCACCCAATGTTAAGAGTCCTGCATTATATTTGAAGAAATTAAATAATGAAAAATCTGCATAAATGTATGTCTATTTCTCGCATTGTGATAAAACAACAGTACATAGAGCCATCGAATTTTGAATGACGTAATCCTCCTACGAATATGCGCATGTGGAAGAGCAAATTTGAAATTAGTTTTATTATCGATTTCATATTTTGTAAAACTTTAAGAAATTTTTGATTAACAAACTCAAGGATTTCAAAGCGAGCTATGGCAAAACTCTAAGGGGGGGGGACCTTTTTATCTCCAGCGAGCGGAACTGTTTATCGGAAATTCTAAATGTAGGCTCATTTTAAATTATTTTGCGACATTGCTATTGAACTGAATTTTAAGGTTTAAGTGCAAAGAACATGATATTTAATAAATAAAGGGAACACAAAACGTTAAAAAAAGTGTGCCTTTCGACGTAATTTAAAATCTGAAAACCTTACAGATTTCTTTTTTTTTTTATAGTTTTGTTTCAATTTTTCCATCCATTAGTTATAAAATTGCACGTATTTCATAGAAATTTAACTTTCGGGTCGTTTATTCTCCTATCAATAAAATTCCGAGTTCCATACTTAAGGAGCCCATTCCGGATATGAATTCCTAGAGTATTCACAGAATTCCTTGTCAGTGTGGTTTAATTTACATTGGTCAAACTAAAAGAGCTTTAAAATTTCGCGTTAAAGTACATGACGCATATGTTAGGGATAGGAAAACAAAGAAGTCCTCTGTTGTCCAGCATTGTTGGTCCGAAAATCACACTTTCCCTTTTTCTGCAGCCAAAATTATTCAAACATCTTCCAATGGTGAATTAGATTTTCTAGAGGCGTTTCACATTAAAAAAAGAAGAAGAAAAAAAAACTTTCTATTCTACTTAACGAACCAAATTCCAATTCATCTTTACCTTTAAGGAAATTATGTTTCAGTTGTCTTGTTTCATCAATAGATGACACGAGTAGCTTAACTCCTGTCCAGCCATTCTCATCTTTTCACTATATTTTATCTCGTTCATTTGCACTTTGGCAGCTGAGGTTCATGGTTCGGTAAAACCATCGAAACTAGTCCTGTGAAAATTTGCAAATATAACGCTGATTTTTGCTGTTTTATTTTGGAAATAACATTTGTTCGGCGTGTTATTTTAACCTAGATATGGTTTATTGTTCCTAAGAAAGAGCTCCGCCCTTAGTGTATACTGGATCACTTAACCTAAATATGAGGAATCACAAAAGAATTCTTATCGGATATATGATAAGGATTCTTTTGTGGATAAGGAACCTTATTATTGTGCTTACTTATCCTAAGACTGTCTATAATAAAGATGAAATAATGCAATGTATCAGTGGAAACTGAACCTTAAGCTATTGTGTACGTTAAGGGGAACTCAGATGAGGCAAAGGGATGACGAGTTGTATACTGAATAAACGCTGATATCAATAAATTAATGTAATATTTTTTCACTTTTAAATTGCAATTTAGCAGATTAATAAAAATTAGTTCGTCAATGAAATAATTCTTTACTTTTTTCAGATCCCAGAATCAAGTTGCGTTTTATGCAAGGAGAAATACATCAAATTACATTTAAGAGAAAACACCCATGGAGCCAGCCCATTCGCTGGTATTCAAAACCCAGGCTAATTACTCTGTAAAATGTGTAGCTTTATGCACAGCTACAGTATTATATTGTATGAAGAAGTATTTATTTACCTTTTCTATTTCTTGCAGTATTAAACTTTAATCAGATAATGTACACAACAGCTTTAAATTGATTTGCTTCAGATTGCTACCATTTTCATCCTACTGTTCAGATTTATTATTTGATGTCATATAAATCTGATATATCAATATAAATGTTGAATAAATAATGAGTTCAAAATTATATAAAATACGAGACATTGTCTATTCTGTATTACTTTAATTATTAAGTAATCTTAAATCAATAATCAAACACCTTTCTGATCTGGCTTGGTTAACTGGTTAAGACAAGAGTAGCCAGAGTTATCTGCCAATGGGGGGGATGCTTTCATGGATGACTTTCTAAGGGAAAGTGGCTCATATTGAGGTTGCGCTTGGGAAAAAGTATGAAAGCCCCCATGCCATCCGACCGTTAGCCTGAATAAAACTATCACTATTCAGTGGGTTTATCTACTATGGCAATGGTAATTAAAAAAATCTGGTTACTATTATTTCATAAGAATATTAATTATTATCGAATAGTATTTTTGTAACTTGATTTTTATTTTACAAAAATGCTAATAGTGGAAAAAATACTTAATTTTTTATTACGGTTAGTTAAAAAAAAAGTTGATTTCTTTAAAGGCGCGCTGTTCATAATATAAAAGTTGGTGAAACTGCTTTTCAGATGAATCTGTTGATAAAATCTCCGGGAACTAGCTAAAATTATTCAAGGGAAAAGCTACAATCCTGGTCAGATGCATAATGCAGAGGAAAGTGGTCTCTTCTGGAAACAAATGCTCAACACAAATTATATAGACAAATCATAGAAAATAGCTGGGGGTTTTAAGCAGTTAAGGAATGTGTGACCTTATTATTTTGTTCCAACGCTTCAGATCGTATACTTAAATTATTGCTGGCACACTAAGCCTTAAGCCCCCAATCTGTGAAACGTATAGATATCACTAAGAAGCCTGTTCACTGAATGGCAAACAAGAAAACCTGGGTGACGACTGTTGTCTTTGCAGACTGGTTTAACGAATGTTTTATTCCGGAAGTCATGTGAGAGGTCTCGAATTTAAAACTCTTCTGATTCTTGATAACAAGCCTGACCATCCTGTTTTTGAACACCCTAACTCTCAAATTTTACTTCTACCACCTCACACCACATCTTTGTTACAACCACTAGACCAAACTATATTTGCGGTAGTTAAAACCTATCATGTTAAATATGCATTCCAACACGTTGGGGATAAACTGAATGAAGAAACATTTAACAGCCATCGATATGTAGAAGAAATTCTCAGTTATGGATTGTATCAATTAATACGAACTAGCTTTAAATTTAACCAATAACTTCGAATGCACGATGGGAATTGCTTTGGCCTCAAATAGTAAATAAAAAAGCAAAGATCCCATCATCCCTTAAATGACTGAATTTCCCAGTATCTTTACAATGGTATACACAATTAGTGCAGCAGAATTCGATGATCTGTCGTTTGAAAATATTGAAGAATTATTAGTCGGCAAATCCGTAAGCAAGGATGAAATATTAGAGGTTGTCTTTGAGACTTTTATTTAGTTTCAGTTTTAATAAAAGTTAAAAGTTTTCATATTATTTTCAGAAATTAAAAATGCTTGATCACTTTTATCTATGTTCAGTGAATTTCACATTTTCAAAAACGTTTTTAAGTTACATATTTAAAATAATATTTTTGTAATTACGTAAAAGAAAGATTTTTTTTTTTATTTATTAGAAAGTAGATAACTCGATGAAGAACTCTGCTGATTGTAATTTGTTTTCATAAAAATGACTAGATGATTATATAAAAAAATTTATTGATTATTTGAGACAAATATAGATTTTAATACCAAATTTTCAGATCTTTCCACAATACAATCATGAACTGAAAATGCACAGTGCAAATGTAGATGCAAATACAAACACATACATAAAAATGATCATACACAAACACAAAAGAAGACAGATATATACCACAAACATAATATTTCCCTCATAAAAAGAACTTAAAAGCAAAATAATCCTGAGAAACATACTCCTAATTTCAAAAATAAGGAATGCAACACAGTATGATAGAGACTATGAATGAGGTAATATATAACTCAATTACAAAGAATCATTGGTACACATTCCAAAAATATGGGTATGAAATTCAATACTAATGGTCCACAATTTCACACATTAATAAATATTTTCAGCTGCTAGAGAAGAATAAATTCACACTATAAAAGAAATTTCTATTAAAAACACAAAATGTTTTTATTAATCTTATTTTAACTTTAAAATGATTACCCCTAGCTGCTAATAATGAGGGAATTTATATTAAAATTCATAATTAAAATTTACAATTAAATAATTGAAATTTTTTAGTACTATTCCTCATACTTTATAATCTGAATGACAAGTTGAGAATCAATTGGGGGGGGGGAATTCAGTTTCATAGAAGACATGATTAAGTTTGGTCCACACATAAAAATGTATTTATTCATCTTCATTTGTTTCTGTGATATTAAAACGTATTTTCTCAGATTAAAAATAATAAAAAAACTGAGATTTAACAATTTATATTTTAATAAAAATTTAGCTGACTAAAAATTACTTAATTATTAAAAATACAATACATTTTGACTGTGATCTTTTTATCATTAATCCTAAATTCTAATATAAGCCAGAAATTTTCATTTCAGTTTACGTTTACTGGATATCACTATTGTCTTGAGGTGAATGAATATATTTCTAAAGTGAAATTCTAAGTGAAAATTGTATTAATAATGAATAAGCTTTATACTTAGTATTCCAAATATAAGGAAATGAGAACAAGAAAAGAAAATGTGCAAACATTTTCTCTATTTATAAGATGCATCAATATCAGTACAGCCACAGCCACACATCTATGCATCTATCTCTATGTATAATTTAAGACATAGTCTCATTATGTAATGATTGAAGTGGGGTGAATATGAAGTGGGTCAAATTGAAACTCGGAATAAAAATTGCATGAAAATGTCACTCTTCTACTGTCATTAATTTTCAGTTATTAAGAAATGGTACATGTTTAACTTCAGTAGATCTGATGACTACCATTACATTTTGCCAAATTTTTCTACTTTGAATTACTATCACATTCATCCAAGTCATGATTCTGACTAGTAATGTCCTAATTCTAAACAGATTGTTTTAATTTTCAAGTTAAGCATCTAAAAAGCAAGACTGAGCTATGGTATTTGAGTTAAACATGGATCAATTCTAAGTAACTTAGTGAAAGCAAATTAAACTAAATTCTTAATTATTACATTATATGCAATAAATACACTATTCTTGGAAAAGATTCCATAAAGGGTGTGAAAAACATATTTAGGTAGTTCATTCTAACCATGGAAAGCATTTAATTCTGCAAGTTATAAGAGTTAATTAAAAAAAAATGAGTTAAATTAAATCTAACAAATTTTTACATGGAATATAGTAAAAAATAGAATATATAAACCATTATTTAAATGTGGTATTTATTCAGTACGATGAGATGCTTTTATAAAATTATATCTTGTAAATATACAGTTATATAATTAGAATTTCTTCATAATTAAAATATAACAGAAAAGACATTTTACAAGATTTTCAGCATATAAACACCATTGAATTAAACCCCTATTAAGTTGCTTTGAGGTGGAATGATTCAATAACAATAACTACTTCCTTTCAAATCTCACAAACAACTAAATAGAAGTGTTAAGAGTTTTTATAATAAGAGTTTCATAGCAGCTACATAAGCATACATTGAAGTTAAATTCATCTCTGATGTGCCTACCTTTTAAGGAAAAGAAACAGAACTTAACATAACTACTATGTCACACATATAAGACATTTTTCCAGTAGAAGATTGTTCTATTTTAACTGGAAACTTATCTTTTTTGTGTCTGTACTAGTACTTCTTAATAATGATAATTATATACATCATTTGTTACATAACATCTGTTTATTTACAGCAGAATATTGTAAATTATTTTTTAAGTAATTAAATAACTGTTAAAAAGATTTGGTTAAAATAGCTATATTTTTTAGCACGCATTTTCTTACAAATGTACTTTTTTGCTTTACAGTTATTATACTATTCCCAAAAGAGAAACAAAATTTATTGGAATAAAATAAATTTTCAAAAAAAATTGACTTTTTCAAATTAAAATACTAATCTCGTGATTACATAGTTTAGTGGTTTCCATTTTTAGTGCAAGACACACATATAGAATTTTTTTACTATGCCTAGCTGAAAATATTTTTAAAAAGTCACTCTGTAATGCAATAGCAAATACCATCTTTCATCATTCTTCAGACATAGAAGCAGATGTGAGTTTTTTTCAGGAAACAACAAGCAGATTACAATGACACAATATGCTCTCTAATCATAATAATAATGTTAATACAGAAAAATCCAAAAATAAATAATACTGACATGAAACAACAAAAACACAAAAGATAGAAAACATAAAAATAATAACTTAACCAAGGAATCATCTCATTTTGCAAAATAGCTTGCATGGATCATTTATTTTGTAAAAAAGGCAAATGATTACTTACGAAGCTAATAAGAATAGCAAAATTTATAACAGAAACAGTTATATAATGTTCTATTTGGCTTACATAACATTAGATGATAGAGATGTTACATTCACACATTAGAACTGGTAAGCATTTTGGCACACATGAAAAAAGCACCAGAAAAACAGTAGAAAGCTAAGATTTGGCACAAGATTCTTAAGCAGTACCCAGTAATGTAATAGACTTAAAAGCAAATAATTTCCATTCTTCAGTTCCATTTGCATGTTAGAAAAATATAAAACAATAAAATATATTTCTAAGCATAATGAACAGTATTTCAATGCAAGAGTGAACATCTTATAAAGGTAAATAAAAAAAATATATAGCCGGAAATGAATTACATGATGTACAAAATATTAAGTCAAGCTTTTAACAAAAATGTGTGATCCATTCTATTGCTATGCTATGACAACAGAGGAGGAGGTAATTATTCCATTTTTCATGGTAAAAATATGAAAATAAATTATTAAATGAAGAAGTAATTATATCATTCAAAATCAAGAGCAGATTATTTATAAATACTATAACAAATAAGAATAATTAAAAATTTGAATTATATTTGATTAAACCAGTGTCCAACTATTCAACTAATTAAAATAAACACTAAGGTGAAAACATGATAACTTTTCAGAAATTTTCAACCAGATAGTATGCTACATATATGAAGAAAATTAATGAATTAATTTTTTCATGCCAAGTAGAGTAATCTGTAATTGGCTCTGGTCCTTCAGCTTAATATGTTGCTAATTAACACCACCTAATTTGTTTGTTAACTAATGATAAGGTCGTACTGTGATTATGTTAGAAGTTTCAATTTCCAATGGCCAAAAATCTGCAAAGATTTTGTAAAATTTAAGGCATTCATAGATGGCAAAATTTTCTTGCTTACATCAAACCAATTATTACATTCAGCTTTCCAGTGTTTAAGAAGTTGGTGCTGTAATTATACTCATCAAAACAAACTACAAAACTACAGATAATTCTTGAAAAAGAGCTTGTGTTATGAAATTGCTAAAGCATTTGAAGATATAAATTAAGAAACAATCTTTTAGCTATGCACTAATATGAATGCTAATACACATTACTACATAAATTATTTATCTTAATTACTTTCTGGTGCTATTTATATTTTTTTAAAAATTGTAATTTTTTAGAAAATAAATATGTTAATGTGTAATTTTACATAAAAGTTATACGATAAAAAGAAAATTACTATAATTTAATAAAATCAATGATATTTCACTTGATGGATTATTTGAAAACAGAATGCAATCTTCAAGAATGGCAAAATTAGTGTTATAATATATTTAAATGAAACTGGAAGCACAGAATAATAAAATTAAGAAATAGAGTTTAATATTTCACAGCACATCCTTCATGCTATCTTATTTCATAAATAATTTACTTCATAATAATTCATCATCAGTGCTTCAAAAATAAATAAATAAGTTAAATGTACATACTCCTTCCTTATCAAAAGAAAGAAAAAACTTTGTAAAGTTTGAACAAAAAGAATCACCTAAGCAGTTGATTATCATTCACATAAACATACCAAACCTGCCATGATTACAAGACAAATTATGGCAAATCTACCTTTCTTTATTATACTTATTACCAAGGCCTAGATTTTGATAACATATGCATTCCTTTTTTTCATTTTATGAGTATTTTTCCCTTTTTAAATCATTTTTAAAGTTTCTAGAGCAATTTTGGGACCTTTTAGAGCATTTCAGAGCATTTTGAGGTATATTCTAGCAGTTCCCTTGAAATAACTCTGTCTCAACTCCTATGAACTCATTTTTACTAGGCAGGCATAGTGCAATGTGTTAATATGTACTCTGGATTTGAATTAATGCCAAAGAAATAAAAAAAAAGTGATTGCAGACAATTTATCAGTGTTTGAAAAATCACTAAATATTTTATCTCCAACATGATGATGTGTTGCTCTTTTTAGCGATGCTGCACCATACATGGTTAAAATAGAAAAATCAATAAAGATATTTTATTCCACGCTAGTGTATGTGACCATTCGCATGATGCACCATCTTGCTAAAGAAATCCCTGCTAATTATATCGATCTTGACAGGTTTGTATCTAACATAAAGAAAATGTTCTTAAAAGCATTATCATATAAAGTGTTTTAAACCCACAGCTCCTAATCTACCTTTACCACTGAAACCTGTTATAATATGTTAGGGAACAGAGCTCAACGTAAGCATGAATTACAATGAACAATTCAAAAAGTCAATTACGAATAGTTTTGATGTGAATAATGCTACTTCATTTCAAATTGCACAGAATAATTTCTCCATAAACAAAAATTGAGGGAAATCTTTCATACACCAGATCCTATTCCAGGATCCTAATTCAACTATTAAATCCTTACCAGAGCAAAAATGGAACTTGTTGATGCAATAAATTACATCAATATATTAGCCAATGTTTTATAAATTATAAAAGACAAAGGTTCAAATTCTGCATCTACTAAATTCAGCATTGTTTTGACTAAAAACTGTGGCTTTTCAAACTATGAGAAAAATATCCCTTATTTTGATAGGAGAAAACTTAAGAACAATCAACAATAAGTAATATAGTCCCCCCCCCAAGTATACTCTAATAACTCCAGTAAATATCAAGAGAAACTTCTTACGATATAAACTTATATACTGACAACAGAAGACATTTCCCTTTTCAAAACATGAAAGAAGCATTTTATAATTTGGCAATTTGAATATATTTGAGTAAAACTGAAAATTCAGAAAAAATTGAATTCAAGTGTTCAGTATGTACAACTGTTTGGGTTTACGTCATTTGTCAATGTTTGTCAATTGCGTCATTTTATATAGCACTATTTTTTATACTGGTGTGTGTGGGGAGGGGGACTTTTTTATTTTTTCTTGGTATTTTTTTCCATTTTAAGAGCATTTTCTATGAATTCTTAAAAGTATTTTCAGTGAATTGTTAAGTCATCAAAACAAGGGCTCAGACCAATATAAGCATTTTCTATATCACTTCACAGCAGAACAGAGGTAAAAACCAAATACTGGAACGTATTTAGAACAAATTGGAAGACATTTACACAAATCACAATATTTTGAATACAAGAAAATTTTGTTATTCTGTGAAGCAATGGAATTATTCAAATAAAAAGTTATTTAAAAGCCAGAACCTTAAAATGAAAGATCATAAAATAAAAAAGATATGTAAAGAAAATTTAGAGAACATAACCTAATTCTTGAAACTGACATAAATGGCAATAAAATGTATAAAAATTTAATTTAGTGCATAAAATTTATAAAAATAATACTCATACCAATTTAGAAATTGCCAATCCTATTAGCTATATCATTAAAGAAATAAAAAAATCTTTCATGCATAGCAATAAAGTAAGCAAAAGATACAAATTGAAGTTAAGTTTGAGAATAAAAAGTATGAGTTTAATATGTGAATTGTGTGCAAACTAGTTGTAATTTAATTTTATATCTTAAATAAATGCATAATGCACTATAAAATCTTCGATTCTAAATATCAGTAGCAGCAGATTTATACAGGATCCGTGATGTATAATATCTACGAGTCTTCACTGATAAAAAGTAAAATTATTTATACACATATTTTACAATAAACTATGATAATTTACTAATAAAACAAACAGCCTACTAGAAATACTGTTAATATGAAGGCTAAATTATTAAATATTCAATTTTAACATTAATTAGGCCCATTTTATTTCCTTCCAAAACACCTTTATAATATAATTTAAATATTTTCTTTAGAAAATAAAATGAAGGAAGGAAGGGGAGGGGGGAAAGCAGCAGCTTTTACAATACAAAAAAAGAAATACGTAAACACTGTATTTGATACAAGATATCACTACAAAAGAAAAATATGAAAATTTAACTGGCAGTTTTCATCTTAATAATTTAAATGGCAAGATAAATTTGAAAAGTTAAAACAGATATACAAATAAAACAGAAACACAAAAATTTATGAATTCAAATTTGTAACTGTACCCTTGTTATCTCCAGGAAATAACACTTAGAAGAAAATTTTTAGGATGATTCTATAAACATGATAAGCCAACAAGTCATAAATATTAACAGTTTCATCCCCCAAAGTTTTAACTAGTGTAACACGCAAGCAGAAAATCTGGCATCTAGATTATTAGAGAAGCTGCCTTTACAGTGTTCATGCAGGTGATTTAATGACATTCAATTTCAGAAAGTTACATCACTTTTGATAAACTCAATATCAGTTAAAAATTTATTTTAACAATTGTGCATAACAATAGGAATTTCTTATGAGAAGGATTTCTACATTTAAAATTGATATCATTACATAAAATATTTCATTATTTGGTCAAATGAAGTAAAATCACATTCAAATGTTTATCATGTTATCAACAAAGGAAAATTATTAGAATTGACATTTTGTTAATGCATCAAGAATTACACAAAAAGGGACTATTAACAACACACAAGGTCCATATCACAGGAGAGAATACCTCCAGAAATACTTTGAAAACTTTGGGCAAACATCATATGTCTTTCCAAAACTATCACAGCAAAAAAGTGGATCAACGTAGTTTCTACCTGTAAACATTTAACTCTTATATAAAGGTAGAAATCTACCAAACTTCAACCTGAACCCTTGTTTGCAACATAAGAAGTCACTCCATGAATACATTAATGAGAATAAAATATATTACATACATAATATTAGAAAAATTAAATTGCTGGAAATATAGTGAATTTATATTAAAATCCTCTAAAGCTACATTAAAACAATTATAATTAATAACATTTTTAAAAATATAAAAATAATGTACTAAAGTATTACATTAAATGCAAAATGCACAAAGAAATTTGCATATAAACAAACATACTCTAATTCTTAAGACTTCTGCATCTAAAAATTATAATTTTCTGTGCTATTATACTATATTTGCATGCATATATTTCATTTTTGAATCATTTTAAAGAAATCACAAGAAATAAATAAGATAGCAGCAGGAAAAAAATTATCAATGAAAATAATTTCACTGCTCATAATACTCTCTTATACTTCTTTTGCCATTAATAAATTGGTAAGGCTTAAATACAGCTGGAGCCCAAAGGAGCTGGGCTCTGGTACTTCTCAGTTTATAAGCAAAATTACAATTCCAGATAAAGTGCACTGGAACACTAAATAAGATCAGCTACACTGCTTTATGTGATAATTTAACTGCCCTGTTAGCAAGAAATTTTGTTGTTAATGCAATTTTCTTTTATGAATTATAAAAACTAGTACTTATATGTTAACTATTGAATTTATTTCTCACTTTCCCAGGAAGAAGAAAAACATGTGGGAAAGCTACAGTGTTACAGGTATCTGGTCAAGAAGATTTTTAAAGAATTAGGAGTAAAAATAAGAAAATAGTATTATCTAAGCATGAAGAATACTGTTTAAAACACTTACATTTCTTCTTATTAAGGGTAGGATGTTTTGTTATCATTAATTTACTTAGCTCTCAATTATTTTCCTTATTTCCTGTAACTTTCTACGATATACTACTTTAATTCTATTTAGTATCCCTCTAATTAATATTTGATTTATTTCTTTATATTCAATTTTAATTAGTCATTATTATTCAGCCTTTATTTATTATAATTTATTTAGTTTTGGTTCCTGTTTCCTCATATTCTTTCTCCCACAGGGTTCTGACAGTTCTAATTTTAATAACCCTGCGAATTTGAAAAAACAATTTCTTAAAAAAATATTCATCTTTATGTACTTGATGCAATAGCACAGAAAATTAAAATTAAGAAAACAGTCTTCACATTTTATTACTTTAGCAAAACTTTATAAAAGATTAGTCACAACAAGATTCTTCAAGATACTAAAACATATGATTAATGTTTTTGTCATGTTAAAAAAATGATACAGTGAATTACTTTAAGCCTGTCATATTTTACACACAACACATATTTTAGAAAGAATTAGAAGTGGGTATGAAACATGCTCTTAAAGTATTTAATAGAGTGACTCACAACATAATGATTAGAAGGACATATGCTACCTGTAAGATACCAGTGGTCGATGATAGTACTGCATTGTTCGATTCCAAAGAGCAAATATTGTGTCTGCATCTGAATTAGGATGACCAAACAAGTAAGGCCTGACTATATCTTCACTGTTCAGCCATTTGTCCATGTCCACAGCTGTTAGTGCTAGCTTTTCTGTGAAATCAACATGAGAAATACCTACACGACTTGCCAATGTACCAGTCACATGAACATCATCTACCCAAAAATATGGTACTTTGGAAGACAAAAGGTACAATTTGAAAACAACATCAGGACTCATAAGTACACCCCACCCTGAACAGTATGTAGGATATTTTCGACCAGGATATTCCTTGAAACTCACTCGCCATTTGCTGCGTTGGCTACGTTTCACATGAGGTGATCGAATCAAGTAACACATCATTAGATTAGCTACACTTTCAGATTCGCCAAAGACATCTTTAAGGAAAGATGCAAGTTGAAATATATCAACAAAGATATCATCATCAGTTTTAAAAACAAAGCGGGCTTGACGACAAAAATATGTGACCCACTTCAATCCCATGACATGTTTGTAAGTTAAATTACGATAGCTGTCAACAAAATTACCCTGCACAACATCTTGATAGAGATCATTTTCTTCTTTAATACGACGTTGGATCTCAGGATCTGAAACTGTTCCTAGTAAGAAAACTACTCGCATTGGATCACGAGAAAGATTTTCTTCACGGCCCCATGTGTCCCTGAAAAATATAAAGAAATAAGTGTATCTAAAGTGGTTAAAAATATAACATAAATATTAAAATGTTATTCAAGCTTATCTCAGATTAATTTTCAGAAATTACTAATGCAGTAGTTCATATTTTTAAATCTGCCCTTGAAAACAGTATTGTAAAATAATACAGTAAAAGTTTATTGATACAAACAATATTCTTTAATAAATTGCAACAAAATCCAGTTCAAATACAACATACAAGGCAGAAAATTTCACTTTATTGTAACTAAATCTGCAAACATAAAAATGTGTTCAAATTGTGTTTCTTTATTTTCCCCATTACATTTTAATAATACTTACTCAGTGAAATGAAGTTCTTTTAGAACTTCCAATAAATTCAAGGATACTTCTTCCATGCAGTAATTCATTTTCTTTTGACACAAAATTACATTTTACTAATGCTTTATTGAGAAGGATTAAAATGACTTGAAATTAGGCTTAAAAAATTTCACATAGTGAAATTTAAAAATAATCTTTCTTATCCACATTTCTCTGAGTCAGACTTCACTTTATTATCTTACAATTACTTTAATCAAATCAAAGGATTATGTATGAGTAATCATCTCAACCCAGTACTTATTATTTGCATTATTTTAAGGTCAAATTATTTGAAAACTATTTTTTTTTTTTTTTTTTTTTTTTTCATTTTCAGTTGGCTGTGTTGATGACATCTTTATGCTTTTTGCCAGTAATGAAGAAGGTTTAACAAAGATTTTAATCTACTACAAATTTAACTGATATAGCCATTCAGTTTAAATTTTGGAATTGAATTGGACCTTGGTCCTTTCTTTGGTACTCTAATTATCCACAAGAAACTTGATTTTAGCACTATTCTTTATTGCATAATTTTTTTTTTTTTTTTTTTTTTTTTTTTTTTTTTTTTTTTTTTTTGCTTGCTTTCCATGCATAATTTTGTAATCCTGCTAAACAAAACATGGTTTCATTTTTTTCTTTCAATACAGCTGAAATGTTTTGTTATAACAATTCCAAATTTGGGTTTCCAGATGCTAATATTCAAGTGGAGGACTATGTTATTCAGAATTTGATGTCATGAGGTACTGATGTTTTTTCACAATGTGAGAAACATACATTTATGCAGATTCTTCATTATTTAATTTCTTTAAATATAATGCAGTGCTCTAATATTTGGTGGCAACAATCTGAAAAGTGATTCATACTTTTATACTGAAACAATGCAAAATGACAAAGCGAAATTAATAGACCTTCTGGGAAAATTGTCGTTTCGGGCTAATAAAAAGAGTAAAATAAAACATTTCTTTTTAAACTAAAATGAATTGACTAAATCATTAAACCTTTTTTAATTTACCAATTGCATATTACATTCATTTTATTTTTTATTTCATTTCAAAAATGCTATTTTTTATTAAATGATATATTATGAGTAAATAATTTTATAAATATTATGAGTAAATAATTTTAAAATGTGTGACATAAGTGTGAAGAATAATATTTTGTACTATGAGTCAGGCAAATATGAGAAGTTATAGTTTACTGTATATGGCTTCTACGATGATTTAGTAATTTAAAATTAGGATCTTTTTCTTCATGATATGAAGTTATGGCATTCAATATATATTACAGATTATTTAAGTTTTCTAACAAGTAAACAAAGTAACAAAGTAAACAAACTCAAAACAAGTAAATTTTGTTTCTCGACTTAGTCAGTAAGCTGTGTTAATGAGCATCAGCACAGCATAATGATTTTCTGACAGGGAGCTAAGAGACGAATCAAAATTAGATGCTTTACAGTGGAAATGATTCATATAATCATCAAAGACTGAAAGCTGTATGAGATCAGTTTCCTAATAAAAGAAATATTAAAAAAATTAATAAAAGATATGCCACTTAAAAGTGTGTACTTATATGAATTTATATAGATGTTTAATTCTTAAAGGAAGCAAAACCAATGACAGTCTCTTCTTAGTTACCATTTAAAGATTCTAAAAATTTAAATTAAAATGTTACTATACAGAAATTCTATTTAAATAAATAGTATGATCTATTTCCAATATAAACAGTATATGCAAAGAAGCCATTGATTTGATCATCATTAATGTGAACATCATTAATGTAACTAGTGCAGCTCCCCCACGTGTATCACTACCAAATATTTTCAGAATAAATATTTCTCCCAGTTAAACCTTGCTTAACTGGGAAAAAACATACATACACTTTCTGTTCCCCCCTTTTTTTTGGGGGGGGGCGTTTGTGTTAACAGAAATGATATTGGAATTTTATGATATAATTATAATGAAGTGGCTGTTGCCATGTGGAATAAATAAGTCAAATAACTGAGTTATTATTTTAATGCTATACTAAGAAAGCTGAATTCAGCCTGAGAGTTAGATCTTAGAAGTTTACGCACTTAGGGTTAAACTTAGTAGTTTATGCATAAATTTCTAAGAGTATGATTTTTCCAGATTCTCATGAATAATGACCTAAACATTACAGGATTCATGAAGAGTTATTACTATGTAAAAAATATGCAGATTCTCTTTACATCTCATTAAAAATCAGAATAACTTAGTTAACAGAAGAGTACTACAGCAACTGATAACCATATCTCTAATTAATTAGTAATACAACTCTTGGTTTGCATGTAACTTAACTAACAAATATGATGCATACATTTAAAATTATCCAAAAGAGAAGCCATACACATGTATGTTACTTATGAAGGAAACTTTCAAAAATTCACACAGGCAGATATTTTAGTCCCCAACTATAACTTTTCATGGCTTTCACGGCTTTAACTTTTCAAATATTGATCAGTGAGAAAAGTGATCTGAGTCTCACCAACAAATATCATTTCTTCAAGATTAATGTTAATTTCTGGTTTTAATCTGGTTAACATTTTTTTGGACGAACTTAGCTTTAATATGCAGTTAAAAAAAAAAAAAAAATTTGTTTGTGATAACGAAAAGGAAGAAAGACCTCTGTCAGATTCTTACAAAAAATGTAGGAAAATATCTTTAAAATTAATGCCAAAATAAAATTTTTGATGACTTTAAAGTTAATGTGTTTCACTACATTTTTTACTAATGCAATTTACTATTTATCCATGATTTGTAATTAATTACGATTATTCTGGTAGAATGTTATAATGCTGATATTTAGTATGAATTCAGATATAAATTTCAAGTACTAATTACTATAAATTTTGAATGAAAATTTTTTCTGAATTTTCAGTTACATTAAAATTTTCTTTCTAATGACATATTAAATTTAATTTATGCACATAAATTATAATGACATGCACAAGAAGTAATTAAATTAAGTACAACTTTTACATAATATAATGGATAAAGTATATGATAAATAATACTTTAATGCAGAAAAATATGCATTTCTGTTTTCATCAAACATACTGCCAAGAAAAAATACTATATAAACTAAAAACTAAAAAAGCAGTTAAGTTCTTCTTAAGGAAATACAATAACTCACCTGATAACCTGACGTTTGCGAAAATTGGTAGGAGCAGAGTGAATAAATATTACAAGAAAAATTGAGTCATCTCCATCACAACGCTTGTTATTTATAAGGAACTTGAAGCCAGGAGAATCAACTAGCCACTCTAAGTCATTTATTCCTATGTATAAAGAATGCAAAAATTTAAAAAGTGTTTCTGGGAGAAAATAGGTAGCTTAAATATGAACAGAATACATTTATACAAACAGTCTAATTCTATACATTTATTAATATTAAATTCTGAACAAGAAGACCAAATCCCTTAGTATTTGAAGATAATAATGAAAATAGTAGTAATTAAAAAGTTATTATAATTACTATCATTTTACATATAGTATATAAAATGTATGTTTCCATAATAAATATATTTTTAATACTAAACATCTATTAAATTATATACAAGCAAATAATATACAGATGTTAACAAAATCTCTATGGCTTTTATATACATTAGCTAGGAAAAGATCCATTCATATAATTACATACACTGCATAAATCATTTACTAATAAAGGCATACAGAATCTATTAATTGAGTAAATCCATTTTAATACCTATTCTGATTTATTGATTTAGAAGTTTTTATAAATTCATGGTATGAAATTTAATCAATACTGAAAGAAAAGTGTTGCTATCTTTACAGAATAAAACATTCACTGTAAGGTACAAATGAAGAACTTAGAAATCAAGGTTTTAATTTTAGCAGTGCTCATTTAGGTAGAAAACAAATTTTGATCTGAACAGATCTTACTCTGATTTCCTTTGTTATGGATTAGCACAAAAATGAAAGATGTCAATAAATTTACCTAAAAAAATTGGAAGCTTTAAAGTTCAAATAAAAGTTTAATGCTTTTTATAAACAATTAAAAAATTTCATACCTCAACAGAAATATATTTGAAAAATCTAAGAATGGTTCTGTTCTCTAATATAAGTATTTAATAATAATTCACCAAATTATGATTTTCTGGTTGTTTTTAAACTAAAATATTTAGAAATAAGAAACTGTAGGTCAATTAATATACTTTTCCCTCAAATTTTGACATCAATTCTAATAATCTGATGTGATTTTAGTCCTTTTTCTTGGTGGGGAAGAAGGGCAAACATTTGGCTAATACATAGAATTCTGAATTGTGAGCTGTCAGTGAGAACTTTTAAGTGTGATAGGTGGCATTTCGAAACATATAAAATCATGTGAAAGAAAGATTACAAAACTTAAGTTATAGAAAGGGAAACTTTAAACTTAATCAAAAATTCAACTAATTATTCCAATATTAAGATGATTATATCTGGGGTTCCTGAGCCAAATTTATCCAGTTTTTACATAGATGATTTTTCATAACCAAACAAATTCAAAACTATTCATTATTCTGATGTCACAGACATTTTAATCAAATCGTTAGCATCCAGCAAAGCAACTACAATGTTTAAGAATACCATTTCCATTGTGTCATAGGGTAAAAAATAGAAGATGCTAATAAATGCCGCAAAAAAGTAATCTGCTAGTTTTTCATAAGCATAAAACGAGAGATCCTCTGAATGACAGTTTCATAAATGAAAGCAAAATACTTCACTGCTCTCGTGTTAAATATTTCGTAGTTATTCTCAATGTATTTAAAAATTACTTACATCAATAATGATATTTTGAATTTAGTTTTAAGATTTTATAACTGTAAGAGCCATTCCTCATATTTCATTAACAAAAATATGGCCGGCTGATAAATATATGCAATTAATCAATATGTTTACGTGTTCCGACGAATGAAAGTCACTATACGGACTGACTCCCCCTCGTATTGAGAGGTTATCACACATGGCTACAGACCCTGCTAGACGGGACTTTTCCGAGAAACGAAATTCTGGTAGCACTGGTTTAAACAGGATTCCTAGAAAAAAGAGCCCCGCCTGAACAAAGTCCCGCCTAGCTACGGAAGCAATGTTGCGGCTACGCGGGATTTTTCAAACCTCACCGAAAATGCCTCGGGTCCCGGGTAGAAACAACCAATCAGACTAAAGTTCTGCTTCTGAAGGATCACGTGATCCCGATTTGAGCGATAATCGATTACTGTTTGGCGTTCAAGTCTTTGTAGTAAGTAAGAATGGTAACCTAGATACGTGTGTTTCCTGGAATTGTGCGGGTTCCTGAGAATTGTCCCTTTCGACATCAAGTCCCACGTAGCTGAAACATAATGTGATTGGGACTTTAGGCGTGAGGGAAGTGAATCAAAAGCATTTCCCAAAAGAGATGATTATGCAAACTCAGCTTGCCACAGGGCTAGGTACCCAGTCCAGGACATTATAGACTTCAAATTGAAATCTCTCTTTGCCACCCAGTTGTTGAACTGGCAATTCAGGGTCCCCACTCCCTGGTGCACAGAGACCATGAAGCGGAAAGACACTAAAGCCATATCCTGGTCGTTGCGATACCTACTCAGAAGGCCGAAACTATTCCTTGCGCATTCTGGCAAGTAGGTTGCTTTATTGCTTTCATGCGACATGGCTATGCTTAATTTGCCAAGAGTAATGGCTGCTATAAGCTATGTTGACCTAAGATCCGATAGGAACCTCGCAAGCAAACAGTCAAGTAAAATTTAGGGAGAAAACGGAGGAAGGTAAGTAAAAGGGATACCATGGTCTCATAGTTATGCAGAAAAACAGTGTCATCAATGAAGAGTATACATATATCCCAGAGAATAAAAACCAAAAGTAATTACTATTAGTTAAAGGGAATAAAGATAAACTGAACGGTATCGACACAGGCAATTGTTATGACTACTGATAATAAGTAGTAAATCCCAGAGAAGATTCAACCAAAAGTAAAATACAAAAAGTTATGTACAAAACAAATTCAATATAAAGCATTGCACGAGAACGTAAATAACAGCCTATGTAAGGAAACTGTGGTTCTTCATCCATTGCGCAGTTAATGGTCTAATACTAACCTCATCAGTAATGGCAACAGAGCGGAGTGATTCGCGAAAGTTTCTTTTAGTGCACTTCAGTTTTCATCTGAAGAACTCATCATTATACTTTTATAAGTAGTCTGAAACACCACATATTTCTAGATCACCATGCAGAAGCATATTCGTGATGAGACAATGAGCATTTGTAATCATTCCCAAAAATTATCATTTTCAACAATTTGAAGCTTGTTTGGATCACTTCGGGTGCAGTTGCCCACGCTGTGGAGGCAAAACACATAATACAGCGCAGGATTGTCGTGTATATTTGTCTCTTCTTGAGAAGACCATAGCCTTTCCCTACGAAAACTTGAAGATTATTAGTCATAACCCGTACCATGCCGGGGACATAGTTGATATGTATTACCCAGGGAAAGCGTTGATTAAAATGAACCCCCAGATAGCTGACCTTGTCTACTCTTGGCACTTGTTGACTGAAGAGGTAAAGTGGTTGTACAATCACCTTTTTGACTGATGCTCTTGCCTCTAACCAGCCACTGAGATTTAGTTGCACTGATAGCAATTTTCCATTTACAGCACCAGTCTTCTACTTACCAGTACAAAGTCCTGGAACTTGTGAATGGCATTATTAGGCTGGATTGAACTGGCAGCTATCGCAGTATCATCTGCCCAGCATCATGTACTTGTCCAGATTGCCTATAAAAACTCCGCTGCATGTAAAAAAAATGCAACACAGGCCTAAGACAGGAGTCATGTGGGACACTTGAGATGATCCTCCAATAAGGAAAGTAGGCATTGACTCAGTTTGCAGTGAAGAGCCTATCTGATAGATACGATTTCAGGAGAAGGATCAGCTCCTTTTAGAAGTTGAAATAGATCAATTTGTAAATGAGCCCCTCATGCCGGACGCAGTCGAATGCTTTCGCCGCATCTATCATGAGAAAAGCACTGCAACACTTATGATTCAGAGCTGCACCTACGAACTCTACGAATCCAAAAAGCTGCTTAGAGGTAGGTGTTGCACGTGGTTGCGGCTGTGTGCAACAACAAACTATGCATATTGGAATTTGCCAGTGCTTTTAAGGATGAATTCATAACATGCCATAAGAGCCAATTTTTGATAACAAAAACATTTAATCACATCACAATATTAAAACTTAATTACTACATTCGACAGACAATCACGTTGGAGGAAGCGAGCGACCAACCGCATAGACGACGCGTGACTGTGTGTCGCCGAAACCACCTTCGGTTACAATTAGTGATAACGGCGCGCGGTTGGCGAGTACAACACATGTTTACAGAGTCGCCACAGTACTCGCCCTCCAGTGGCAACGAATTAAAGGTACCGAGGGTTAAATCGGACTCTACGTCCGGAACGTGTATACTGAGGAGCACTTGTTTTCTGGGATCCAGGCACAGGAACTGATGTAGTAGTAGACGTTGGTGTAGACCCAATAGATGAAGGTGCCTTCGAAGGAGGTGGGACTGATGTACCAGTCTCGACAGTTTGTGGTGCTAAGATAAAGGCTGGTTTTGAGACGATCAAGGCTCACCACTGTCTCTTGTCGCCGATTAGTATCCGATAGTTCTTGGATGTGCGACTTAGAACTAGGTGTGGGCCTGTATAGGTAGGCTCCAAGGACTTTTTTGATGCATCACACCGTAAGAACACATGTGAGGATGTAGCAAGTTCTTTAGGCACAAAGACAGGTCTTGAAGAATGTATGCTTGTGGGCTTAGGATATAATGCAGCCATGGTTTCACGCAATTGTTTGAGGAATGCATGGGGCTGGACACTGACTCCTAACAACACCGTAGGAAGGATATCAACCCAGTGAATAGCAGTATGGCATCTAATGGCCTGTTTAAGAGAGCGATGGAACCTCTTAACAAGTCCATTGGAATTCGGGTGGTACGGTGATGTACGAATCTTTTTAGTTCCCAAGACGTCCGGGTCACCATTTGTTGCACGTGGTTGCGGCTGTGTGCAACAACAAACTATGCGTATTGGAATTTGCCAGTGCTTTTAAGGATGGATTCATAACATGCCATAAGAGCCAATTTTTGATAACAAAAACATTTAATCACATCACAATATTAAAACTTAATTACTACATTCGACAGACAATCACGTTGGAGGAAAGCGAGCGACCAACCACACCGACGACGCGTACTGTGTGTCACCGAAACCACCTTCGGTT